CAATATAAACTTCATGAGACCCCTCATGAAGCAACAGCGCCAACAAAGCCGTGTTGAATTACAGGGCGCACGCTCCATGAGACTCCACATGGGGCAACAGCGCAAGAGGTCGAACTTGACTGATGCTCGCTCCACGAGTCCCCCTCATGAAGCAGCCGAGCTGATCAAGTTGAATATACCACTCCATGAGACCCCTCGCGAAGCAACAGTGCAACCAGTGTGGGAATGAATCACACGACGCCCGCTTCATGAGACCCCCTCCTGAAGCTTCAGCGCCGACCAAGCCGAACTGGAACCATGACGCTCGCTCCATGAGTCCCCTCATGAAACAACCGAGCGAATCCAGTCCAATCAAACTCCATGAGACCCCTCATGAAGCAACAGTGCCAACAAAACTGTGTTGAAATACAGAGCGCACGCTCCATGAGACACCTCATGAGGCAACAGCGCAAAGAGGACGAACTTGACTGACGCTCGCTCCACGAGGCCCCCTCATGAAGCAGCCGAGCTAATCAAGTTGAATATACCACGCCGTGAGACCCCTCGTGAAGCAACAGTGCAACCAGTGTGGAATGAATTACGCGACGCACGCTCCAGGAGACCCCCTCCTGAAGCAACAGCTCCGGCCAAGCCGAGCTGGAACGATGACGCACGCTCCACGAAACCCCTCGTGAAGCAATTCGCCAAGCCAGTGGCACTGGAAATGAGCGACTACAAAACGTGAAAGTTCACTGAATTTCGGAAATTCTCCAGGAGATTGCGCATGGTGCAAGGAGATGCAAGAACTCCAAGCAAGTCGAGTAGATGGACAGATGTTGGCTCCATGGGATCCCTCATATAGAGCAACAGCGCCAAGTGTTCAGCGCTAACCAAGTCGACCTTCAAATAGAAAGGAGCCCTGCACACGCCATGAGACCCCTCATCAACCAACAGTGCAAACCAACTCGGTATTGGACGCTCACTTCGTCGGACTCCACCAACGGATCGACAGTGCCAAGTCATTCGAAAAAGACACGCGCGCTCCATGAGACCTTCGTGAGGCAACAGCTCGACATGGATGAGACCGCAGGGCACCCGCCCAGACCTGACCAAGCTATGCGTTCGGCTTGATACCCAAATCAAGAACCAGCTTCTGGCGTGACACTGCGCGGCCAGCTGTGCGCATTGAGGAACAGCTCCACAGGTGCCCGTACCCAGTAAGGTCTTGAAACACGAGTGCAGTTGCATAAACATCATGGACAGGTAGAGACAGCCCGGCGGAACCTCCTTCATGGTCATGACTACTGTTCATTCATGCATGCCAATCGCCCACATAGTCTGAGCTCGCTCCCTGACACCCTCATGAAGCAACGTTGCCATCACAGTGGTAAGGTAATAAAGCGCGACACGCAACCAATCACGACGTGGCAGGGTTGCAGAGTCAGCATGTCATCAGCGCACCAGCATGTAGGGACAGCGCACCTCTGCCACTGACTTGGTAAGCCTTGCAGGGTCGTCGCCAGGAGTAGCGCTTGCGCCGCCCAAGTCCCTCTTGGGTCGGCACGGTGCGGCCGCATCCGGATGGACAACAGGTGCCCCGGGTATCCGAGGTGAACACTTTCGCCTGCCGCAGCCCACAACCGCCATGCATAGGCCCCCCCCCAGCGCGGACACGCTCCTCGAGGTGGTTCTTGAATTCGAACCAAGCCGCCGCATGGATGACCTGAGCACACGTGTAGGCGGCAAGGGTGATTCCGCGAGCGCCCATGGCGTTCAGGGTCTCGACCTGATAGACCCACCACAAGTGTAAAGTTCCTCCCTACCAAGCTAGTCTTTCTAGGGTCCCGCCCTAAAAAGAGAGAACAAACGCTATTTTGGCCAAGGCACTTGAGCCAAAACATTCTTTGGTTCAAACCTATGGCAGTAATGAATGCATGTTCACCCAAGCCTGCCAGACCTGAAACATGTTTAAAAAGCTTGGGATGCCTCATGCAAAGTGGAAGCAGGCACAAAGGCTCAGCAGCTCGGTCACATACAATTGACAATGCTCAAACCTTCTATAGGGACCAAAAGGACTATAAGCAATAAAATGTCTTGTATTTGTTCAATGACCCTCCCTTACTTATATATCTCTTTCTCTCGACAGAAACAGTGGACATTGTTGTCTTGAGAACTGCCAGGAGAGTCTCTCTTGTCAATCTTTCTCTGGATTTGACCAACCTGTCTTGAACCAAAGCAGGCCAGTGGAAAAGGTGTCAAACTCTTTGCTTGAATTGAAAGAAGAAGCGCCAAGTTGGCCAATGCAGCAACAAGCCTCTTTGCTGTGTTCTTTTTCGAACTTTTTGACCTTGGTGCTTCGTCAGTTCTCTGAAAGCTGTTGGACAAACCAAGAGAAACTGACACCGCGAATCGAGGCCTGAACGAGCTTCATAAACTCAGCAAGAATCTCTTCTTGACCAAGGTAGCCGTCACTGTCGAAGTAATGACCAACAGAAGTCTGGCAGTTGACGCCACGGGAATCCATTTGATGCAGCACACCGTCACTGCTGCATGTACATGTTTGGCACGGCAAACCCAGCAAGCAAAGAGTCCACTGAACTGTTTGAGCACTTTAGCAGTTTGTCACCTTGTATGATACTTCTGCTTTCCGCTTCCTCAGGATGAGAGCACCAAGAACCAAAGCTGAACAGTAAATTACAGTGTATAGACAGATCAAGAAGCTTGTGGCTGTTGTTCTCAAGGCTGTATTCATGGTATGCTAACAAGTGGCGGACCAATCCGATTCCTTGACAAGGCGTGACAAGACCAGACTTAATCGAAGAGGTTCTTGTCTGCAGGTTTCACACAATGAACTTTGTTCAAACGCATTCGTTTGCAAGAAGGTCTGGCCTAAGGCCAATCTCCATGTCCTGTGAGAACGGCAGCATTGTCACATCAACGAAGACAGTCTGCCCAGATACCTTGGACGTTTCCCATCCTCAACCAAAAAGCAACGTCTTGATTCTTGATGATTCCCTTGAGCTCCAAGCTTTTATGCAAATGACGGACGTCTTGATTACCTGAAGACGGCATTTCTCCTTTTGCTGCAAACGAGCTGATGACAAGGCACTGACAAACATGTCAATGAAGGCAACTAGGCCAGAGAAAAGGAAGTAGCCGGCCACGCAAACACCAATGTATATCCGATCCTGCGAATATGATCAAAAAACAATAAAGCTCACAAGCATACTGTCTTTCTCAAAGTCGGTCCTTTGGAAACTTCAGGACGAATTGTGCGTAGCACCCAAATGAGCAGCAAATCATGCAAAGGATTATGCGAATGTTTGTCCAGAAATGATCCTGCCGTTCCATTTCAGCGGTCAGGGTCATATTGAAAAACACTTATTACTTCAAGTGTGGCCTCAAGACTCATTGGCCCAAGTTGAGAAACTGGGTATAGCCATGCTGAAATGAATATGCACTAAATGAAAAGAAATATACGTTCATCTGTTTCACGCAAGACGAAGCACCCAGCGTCAACGCTGCGCAAGCGTCAACGCTCTGTTTCATGTCTGTATGAGCATGGGCAAGCGCTCTGTAAACCCAAGCTGATCGTGCGTATGTCCTCTGGCACCCATCCACCGTGATCGAATCAATGTGTTCTGAGGCGTACTTTAGACATGCACGAATAAATTCCTGATCCGATCATGTCATGTCTTCACGTCTATTCTATAAATGAAAGCTCAAGAAGCCTTTAGGAACGTGAGAAAAAATGCTGGAGGGTCCAGACTAGTACCAAAATGACACATCTGGATTGGAAATTCAGCTTATCAATCTAGGTGCTTTGCATGTCACCTGGGCCCTAGCTGGGTTCTAATTGCAGCTATAGGATGCTTCCCAAGTTTCCGAGTGAGGCCTAGAAAGAAAATCAAGCATGGCCTGTCAAATTATGGATGCAAGTGTCACAGTACATGTTTTTTGGACCCGGCCTCTGAACTACATTTGGACCATTATCACCATTATCATTAAGTTTGATCAGCTTTGTCCAAATGCTCAAATAGGATCGCACTTGCCACTTTGGTTTGGTTTGCACAAATACAAAACTGCAAGGTTCCTTACATATCCCATTTGGCACGAACTCACAAGCTGTCCTCCTGGAAGCCCATGCGGGGAAGCCTTGGTATCTGCTGCCAGCAGCACTATGTACTCAATCTGCCAAAGTGACTGCTTCTTAAAACAGCAAAGTCAATTGTCCTGACATGAGAACAGCCTCTTATGATTGTGAGTATGAGTTGGGCAATCAGTCCCAAGCGACAGAAACCATCTTGACTAACTAGGAATGAACACCCCATATAATGTCACATTGCTCAGATAGAAACGCATCGTTGAAGAACTCGGATGCAGCCTATCAGCATTGTTTTCTTCCTTTCCCATATGCACGCAACCACACACACACACACACACACCCGCACGCGCACACACATACACTCCATAACAACACGAAACCACAATGTGTCTGCCTCGAAGGCGCTGATTCTAGATTCCAACGTGCAAAGCAAAATGCCAGCCTTCAGAAGGTCAGTCTTTGAGTACAGATTTCCCGCCTGCAATTGAGTTTTGGGTGCCAGTGCCAAATGTTCTTCTACTAGTCAATGGAAGACATGCTTCAAAGACACCTTTTTGTCATCCACGTCTGGCAACCTGAAATCCAAAGATTCTGTGTGTGCGTGTGTGTTTGTGCCATTGCCAAAGCTAAGGCCAGCACTCCATGTCCAAGCACAGCAAAACCTAAAATTTGAGCCTTGAAAGTCAAGCATCCTATAGTTGCTGACAATTTAGTTTGGGGACCCTCATGGCTCACTGCAACATGGGACTTCCCAGTACTTGCCATTGCTTGCGCTCATTAGCCAAATTGATAGGAAGGGGGTCTGCATGAGTGAAGTTTTGATCGCTCCGCAATAGCAAAATGATTTGTCCAAAATAAGTTCATCAGTGAATGTTTTCCGCATCATCCTTTCAACATCTATTCACCAAGCAGAATCTTCAGTCGCCGCGACCTTCCGTTACACCAAATAGTATAGAATTCCATTTGCACTCTTTTGGATCACAACAAATGCATGCGAGTTCACCCTTTTCTGCATCAGCGGAATTCGGAAATGGCATGTCCAATAAAGCTGGCTCTGAATCCAATCTTTGTGGCACAAATCCAAGCGGAACCTCGAAGAAGTCTTGCATTGCATGGGTACCACTGTGCCTGATTGGAATTCCCACCCATTGCGTAGCCGATAACTGTCCCACACTTTCATGGTGCGTCGGCCGTACACCCACAAGATTTAGTTTTGCAACTGAAATCTCTAGTTTTCCGATCTGTCGGCTATCCAAGCTCTTTGCAACAAACACAAACAAACATCCACATCCAAAATGTTTTCTGAAAGGCAGGCTTTTCTGAGCCTCAAAAAATATGCATCGATTTGTGGTGGTAATGTGGCGTATTGTGTTGCTTCTTGTGCGAGGCTGCCTGTCAAGCTTGATACAAAATTACAAAATCACCAAGAAGTCGCACTGTTTTTTACCCGAACCATTTTTTTTGCAAAAACAACATGCACTTTAGCGTTTGGACACCTCTATGGTTGGTGAACTCCGTGGCCATCATACACACCGTGCAGCGTTTTGTCCAAAACAAGGTTGCAGAATTGAATTGGTCCTTGTCCGGTTGTTGAACAACAACAACAACAGCAACAACAACAACAACAACAGAAACTGAATTGTCATATTTCGGCATAGCACATGCTCACACCCGTCGCGTTTGGATCCCGCCACGTCAATCTTTTTTGCACGAATGCGGACGCCATGTGTGCGGTATGCACAGGTCATCATGAAAAGGGTGGAAACTCTGCATGTTTGAGAGGGCAAAAACAAACAAAGGAAACAAAAAACCACAACACACAACACCAAACCCCCAACACAAAACCAAACAAACCGCACCCAACCAAACTTCGCAGAGTTTCGCGCTGTACTGAAAAGGTGAAACCAGTGACTTGAGAGGCACTGCCACCAGCTACTCGGGCCTTGAATTCTCGAAATCTTCAAAGCTTCAGCTGCTTGTTTTTGCAAAGCGGTTGAGTACCTTCCAGCATGCCTGTCTTTTTTTTGCACGAGTGCAGACGCCATGTGTGCAGTGTGCACGGGTCATCATAAGAAGGGTGGAAACTCTGCATGTTTGAGAATTTTTTTTTGCACGGGTGGAGGCGCTGTGTGTGCCGAGAGGCACAAGTCACCTGGATTGAATTAAGTAGGGTTACTGAGAGGATACGAGCCAGGTAAACAAAAAACAACCCAAACCAGCAAAACCGAACAACAAAAACACCAAAAACAAAACCAAAACACCCAAACCGAACCAACCGGGCTCGTATCTCATCAGGACAGCCAGAGCCGGGGCGACTGTCATGAAAGAGGTGAAACGGGGCATTGAATTCCGTTCTTCATTCTGCGCTCAGTTCGTGAGGATCAGGAGGTAGCGGACTTCCTTTTTGCGGGCAGTGAGTATCAATGTGGCAATTTCGTGCAGACTAGTCTGCCAGCCTGGTGTTCAAATGTGTGCAGGAGTGAGGAACATTGCAATCCGACAGAAAAATGATCCCTGCACAGTGGAACATTGCTTTGTCATACCTCGTACTGGCAGTGTTGGCCACTGTTTCTTCTTTGCCAACCGGCCTAACGAAAAGGGTCTGCTGGTCCTCATCAAGGTCTAGAGAGCTCAGCAGTTTGGTGATGGCTCTGCCGGCAGGGTTCTCTTTGTGGGCAACGCCAAACCGCAGGTTGGTAGTGATTGCGAACCAGGCAAGCAGGAATGTAAGCGATCTTGTCTTGCCTGCCCCAAAAACTCCTGCTACGGCCAGTGTGGATCGGCCGGACTGCAAGGCCGAGACTAGGGACAGGGCAATGGACATAATGTGAGCGCTGTCCGTCTCAGCTGCGGCACACAATTGCTGACCGAAGCCAGTGGCTTGGGGACAATACCGCGGGGTATTGGCCGTCGCCAATAGTCCAAAGAGTGCATTTAGGCTGCGCAGCAGTTCCTCAGCTCCAGCAAACTGATAGGAGACCGGGAGCGAGTAGGGAATGCCCAAGGCCGTTGGCTTGTGTTCGAGGGGCATGGTGGCCATTTGAAGCAAGTGGTCAGCGGAGACTGTAGTACCGACCTCAGCCAGACTGAGAATGGGGAGCGCAGTTGTTTGGGTCTCAAGTTGCTGTAAGCTGGGCGGTAGTCCCCATTGTATTTGCGTATTGACCACGACCTCGGGGCTACCGTCCGTGACTTGGGACTACTTTGTCGAATTGCTAACTCCTCCCTTGATTCTTGGGAGCCCTGCTTAGACTTCTTCTTGGGTTGTGTAACGTACTCCAGGAGCACCATCAGGAGCGCAAAGACTTTGCTATCTTCCCGGAGTACAAATCGGTATACCCTCCCAACTTGGCTGCCTATGTGGATGTGCTCTGAAGGCAATGTGGCAAGGGACTCGAAGCTGGTGGACCGGCTGCTCTGCAGAGACGAAGGCTGCAATTTTATATTCACGCATGCCCTGCAAGCCTTGGGCAAGAGGCGTGACATGAATCAGGGACTCTTCACTGCTGATGGCCGGACTGTACCACAACTTGCTATCTAGTTTTGCGCCTTCTGCAAAGGTCAATTGGGGCAGGAAGAGAGCTAAAATGACGAAGACTTCTCGGAAGGGGATTGGCTTAAACAAGGCTCGCGTGACCTCCGTGAGCCATTTTGCACATGCATCTGGCTTACTGCCGCCTACTCGAAAGTTGCGCAAGAGTATCGCTTGAGCTTCTGCCATTGACGAAATCCCCTGCTCTGGCACACAGCTGCGTAAAAGGTGAAGGAGTTCTGTGTCAGGGAGGTGGATCTGGGGGACGAGGAGCTCGATTGCAGTGCGCCAATCCTGCTGGTTCATCACAGTCTCAAAGCGGATCCAAGACGCGAGTCGAAGTGGTGCTGCCATTCTATCACGGATAGGGATAACATCCGGGTGACTGAGCTTAAGTTCAGAAAGGAGGCACCGACCCTCCGGTAGACTGCAGCGCAGCCAGTGCCAATATTTATGCTTATCAGTGCCCATCCATTTATCA